GGGGGAAGCCCTGCCGGTGCGGAGAGGAACGGCTCGCCGGGACAGGGGCCGTGGCGGGACCCGCGCTAAGCCCGGAGCAAACCTCTCCCATCCTCCAACTCTGCCCCTTGCCAGGAGAGGCCACGACCGCACCAGAGCCCCAAAGAAAACACGCGGCTCCCTCATCCCGTGCGTTTTCCAGCTGCTCCTGTCCCCGCGCTCCGGGGCAGCTTGCTTTGCGTTTGTGGATTTATCCCGCAGGGCCTGGAGAGGATCCTCGCCTCCCACGAGCACTCCGCGTCTCCTTTATTAAATACCTCGCTGGCGTTTTCCTCCCCTTTCCCAGCGTTCCTGTAATACTGCGTTTGACACTCGGAGCTTTACGGGTGGCAGCAGAGCCAGAACGGCCGCGCTAAAAATAACGGGCCAGGAGCGCGGGGCGGCCCCGGAGCCCTTCGCTCCCTGCGGAAGGGAACGGCGATCCCGGACCGTGCGGGAACCAGCCCGGGACCGGCCCTCGTGCAGCCAGCAGCTCCTAAAATCAGGAAAGCCGCAGCAGGCAGGGATGGCGCAAAGCACCGCGCTGCTCGGACCTGCACCGGGCACCGCGGGGGAAAACCCCTAAATTGCAGTTATCCGCAAGAGGGGAGCTGGGCGCGGAAGAGGCCGAAAGAGGCGGCCGAGGAGCAGCCGCTGCCGGGACACCGGGGCTGGGGGGAACCCGCTACCCTGGCCCGGCCGCGGTGCCCGCGACGGGGCCGCTCCGGTTACTGCAGGCGCATATTGCAGCGAGGAACAATATGAGGAATATTATTTCAGTGCCCTGGGAAAAATTAGCAAGTCAAATATTGAATCAGGCCTCCAGCATATGCCAAGGAGATTGCTTTGATCTTATCCACGCTAAAAGCTCTATTATTGAATTTAGAGTCTGTGAACACGTATCAGACCAATATACAATGCATATCTGAACGCACGTTTGAGCAGCAAAGGATGTTTTGACAAAAGCAAAAGAATATTTTCTGAAAATATCAAAGTTATTGCATCAATTGAAATACAAATGTCCTTTCTCATCCAGCTCGGGGCTACAGCGACAGGACGAGCCACAAGCCGGGCCGGACCCGAGCTCGGGAGGAACCGAGGAACCCGCGGGGAACACAAACAACTTACCATTTTATTATTGATTTCATGGAAATGAATTTCACAGACTTTTTCCACCACATCTTCATTTTCGAAAGTTACGAAGCCAAATCCTGGTTAATAAAGAAAAATAAAAAGAAGAAAGGGGAAGAAAATATTAACCGTGTTGTAGGGGTTTCATTGTAAGCGAGCATTACACAGACACGCTGGAGCTTTGAGAACTTTCCTACCAAACTGCACGTGTAAAAACTGCTGCTTTCTACGGAGCCACTGCAGAGCCTATTACGGGCTAATGGAGGGAGGAAGCGCCGTCTCCAGGAGAATTAATTGGGCTCTGGTGCAGCTCTTCCATAGGATTTAATGGAGGGCTAAGGCCTCCTGATAGATTTTCTGATCCATCCTAAAGAAGTTAATGGGCAGTTCCAGCCCCGTCAGGAACTGCCGCACGGCTCTGTTCCCGTTCATGTCTCACAGCTTCCCAGGAGGCATCGCTAGGAAACCCCATGGGATTTCCCGGGGGTCGCATCCCTTTCCTCTTGCTGGATTCCAGGGCCCTCTCCCTTCGGGATGACCGGGCTCGTGGCCCGGCCGGCGCCGGCCTCCCCGGCCCCCTCTTCCCGCATTGCTCCC